TGGGACTTAACTTGGGACTTGTCGGTCTTGACCCAAGACTTTCCTGTCTTGACTCAGGACTTTACTCGGGACTTAATATCAGTCGTGACTTGGGGCTTGACACTGGACTTGACTTTAGACTTGTCAGTTTTGACTTGGGACTTGAGCACAAAGACTTACTTGTGACTTGCTAAACTCTGACTTGGTCCCACCTCTGATGAACACTGCCCTAAAAATGGGAATAAGTGATGTGGGTGATTAAACCTCGTGTGAAAGCTGTGAGTTACCTGTCAGACTAATCTCAGGTCATAAAATCTCGCGGTGTTTCGCAGCTACGTGCTCGGCTGCGTTGACTGGCGCTCGGTTCTCGAAATACATTGACGTCCCTGCCGCGCCATCTTTAGAAAACAGTGAGCCCAACACTGAATGAAACTTAATTTTCGTCGTTTGCGAGAGCTGCCTGCTGTATGGAGTGATATCCTTGTGTTTCCAGGTGACGTAACATCGTATTAATAACATTTAGGCGATATAACGGCTACGTGTGTAGTTAATATGTCGAAATTGTACGGTTATCGTCATGTAGAAGAATCCCTCTACATGTTGTCCGGCTGAGGCTAGCTGGAGTTGCTAATGCTAACACCAGGCCTACCGTTGGGGTGACCGTGTGTCTTGTGACGTTATGTGAAACTATAACCGTAGTATTCAGATTGATGCGCGTGTGAGCATCTGTGATTGTCAAACACTAAAACGCATCTTCGCAATCGGCTTCACAGGTTAAGCGAGACTTAAAACGCGTTGCTAACAGGCTAACGCTAGCTTGTTACTAATAACAATCGAACATTAGCTAGCCTAATCGTGTTTATTATTATCATCCAGCTGTCGTCGTATTGTTGGCTGTGTCAGTGACGTTTATGGTGCTCATTTGAAATCCTGCAAGAGCAATTTATAGCCGACACCTACTGCTTTCATTAGACTTCTGTGACATCGTTCAGCTGATCAGAGCTGGTAGGTGTGCAGGATGTTTAGCTCACTTAGGGTGACATTCTGCTGGCACGTTTTCAAGAGCTAAATTGTTTTGTGATGTTTGTTTTTCACCTTCAGGTGTTTGATCAGTGAAAGTGATCATGGGGATCAAGACTCCGCGCACTCGGTGCTTTCTTGACATTGGCATCAGTAATGTGCTCGGTAAGAAATACACCTCAACTTTCTGGCTACTTAACTATTATATTCACTTACTTGGGAGTTTACTATGTAATTACAGCTAAATATAATGCAGTTTAATATGATAGTCCTGCAATAAATGTTGCCTCTGTTTCTGTTACACTGTATCCTGTTGTAGAGAGGTGTTGATTCATCAGGTTATTCTGGAGAAATTGTGTACTAAAAACTGTAATATACCACATTAATTCAGCAAGATGAACCTAAAGTAGTGACCTCTGGATGTAATTTCTCATCACGATAAACAAACCTAACAGTGCTCTTTCCTTGCAGTCGGCAGAGTTGTGGTTGAATTGTTTTCAGACATCTGTCCCAAAACATGTGAAAACTTCAGATGCCTCTGCACAGGTGAATAATACATTGTCGCCACAAGAATACACCAGAAAACCTTTTTCTTTCATGGCATGGTTTAATATTGATAACTGAAAACTGACTGTGGTTTCATTCAGGTGAAAAAGGCATTGGTAAAGGAACTATGAAACCTCTGCACTACAAAGGATGTCTGTTCCATCGCGTTGTGAAAGACTTCATGATTCAAGGAGGAGACTTCAGCGAAGGTGAGTTAATAAAGTTTGAAGGACGGTGTACTTAGCTTAAAGGCCTTGTTGAAGTCCAGATATTTAAAGACTGTGAAGATGTAGTGAATGACTGCAAATCTCTTTGTTAATGTCATCACAAAGCTCTCACTTTTTACCTGTCAGCATCTAATAATAAAAGCATCAACCAAGCCTAACATATATTTGAATAACTAGCAGTCAGCTGAAGTTTTATAACTGTTTCCTGTAGAAGTCCCCTTTCTCACATTTTATTTTTTTTCTGACATCATAGGTAATGGAAGAGGAGGAGAATCCATCTATGGAGGCTTTTTTGAAGGTAAAGAGGCCACTGTCAGAGCTGTCAGTTGTTATCCAAACCGACGTTGGCTTCAAGATGGCAGTACAATCTTATCCTTTTCCCCCAGATGAGAGCTTCGCCATTAAACACAACAAGGAATACCTGCTGTCTATGGCCAATCGGGGCAAAGATACAAATGGATCACAGTTTTTCATGTAAGCACTACATATTATGTATTATATATTTGCTGCATTTGCATTATTTGTTCATTCTATCACCCTTTAGACATACAAATAATTAAATGCCTTTTTTTCTTGAATGGCCTGCTGCAAAACTTCAGAACAACAAAACCTTCCCCACATTTGGATGGGTAAGTGGTTCTTAATTGCATCTTAAACTTTGATTGATTGCATGGTGCACAATTCAATATATTTTGCTCAACAAGCTCAACACCACTGTATTTTCTCAGTGTCCATGTGGTTTTTGGTCATGTGATTTCTGGCCAAGAAGTTGTTCAAGCCATGGAGAACCAGAAAACAGATCCTAATAGCAGACCGTATGCTGACGTCAAAGTTTTGAACTGTGGAGAGCTTGTCCCTAAATCTAAAGGTTTGTTTGTGTGGAGCATTTTCAGTACTTTGACTGTGCACGATAACAGCTTTTAGATTTTATAAAGCAGTGTTTCTAACAGACTCTTCAATGTTTGCAGCAAAGAAAGATGAAAAAAAGAAAGACCGAGCCTCACCCAGTTCCAGCAGCAGCTCCAGCGACTCCAAGAGCTCATCAGACTCCTCTGACTCTGAAGAATCAGAGAAGGAATCTAAGAAGAAGAAAAAGAAGGCGAAAAAGCTAAAAAAGAAACAGAAGAAGAAGGAGAAGAAAAAGTACCTAATTTATTGTCACATTCTGACTTTCTGCAATGCAAATGGTACCTAGTGTCTTAACTCTAAATTGCAATGCTTTCCTTAGGTCAGAGGCTGAAAGTGCTGAGGAGAAAGAACAAGAAGAGCTGGTTACATCTACTGTACGTCCTGAAGAAATTCCACCCATCCCAGAGAATCGATTCCTCATGAGGAGGAGTCCGCAGGTGGGCCAGAAGCCAAAAGAAGAAGGTGAAAAAAATCCGTCAAATAAGGAGGAAAGGCCACGAGAGAGGTTAGTCTGCATGACTAACAGCTGGTATGACAAACATCGAACATAATGCCATTGTCTGTTAATTTTTATGCCTTGCTTTTTTTTTCTTTCCTCTCTCTCTCTCTAGCACTGGCATATCATATAATTCTCAGTCATCATATCACAGAAGACTGGTGATGACACGATCTGGGAGAAAGATTAAAGGCAGGGGTCCAAGGGTAGGTGAACTGCAGTGATGAGAAGAGCTCAACTAAACTTTCATCCACTATGTCACATATCATATTGAGTCTAATGAGATTGTAATATGTCAAGTTGCTCTTATAATGCAGAGATGCATAAAATTTAATTTCATCTTTTATACGAATTTTAATGGCAGTTATGTATAATTGTGATATGTCATTTCTTCCATCCAGCGCTATCGGACTCCGTCACGCTCTCGTTCAAGGTCCAGAGATCGTTTTCGTCGCAGTGAAACTCCTCCTCACTGGCGTCAGGAGATACACCGTCAGAGGATGAGGGCAGTCACCGGAGAGCGGTGGATAAAGGGTGACAAGTAAGATAACCTCACTTTAACTTATTAAAGGGATATTTTGGATTTTTTGAACTGGAGCTGGATGAGGTGTTTATATATGTATAATCAGTGTATTAGATACAGTAAATGATGGCTGGCATGCCACCAGTGTGGAGAAGCAGGCAGGAATACTGCCATGGAAGCTAAGCAATGTACTGCTGGGGGTTGGGCAGCAGCAAAAGGTATTTGAGCCACCTAAAAAAACAATGTAAGTTTAACTGTATACTATATTTAGAGTACTTTAACCACTTCACTTTGCCACCAGACAGCCCTGTCCAACGGAGAACTGAACTGAAGCTTATCTACAGTCTCTTCAAAGCCACCAGACTCCATTGAGAATAACATTAGTTTTACCTTGCAGGATGTGGGAGTTGCGGGTCTGTCACTTATGTTGAATAGGAAGTAATCCTTTAAAATCACCAAATTCAAGCAATAACACGAACAAACAAATCAATTGAGGCAGCTGTAGACCAGCAATTCCCAAGTTCTGCAAGCTAAAATAACCATTTTTGTCAATGGAGACTGCTGGCTTTGAAGGGAGCATGGATAACCGCTTCATTTCCCTGTCAGACAGGTTGTGTGACAACAAGGTCAAAGGAAAATATTCTAAAAAAAAAATTCTAATTTTTTTTTTTTTTTAGGTGGGCCTTTTTTTAGTAGAATAAAATATGTTTTGCTGCTGTCCCCGTTGCAAATTTGCATTTCCTAGGATAGCGTAGGCATGATCTGCCCTACTCTGCCTTTCTCTGCCTCTGATTGGCTTACCCTGATATTCTTACCTTAACCCAAAGAGATGTTAGTCCTCTTGCCTGAACCAAACCAGTCAGCCCAACAAAGAAAGTGAGTATTAGCCAATCAGAGGGAGAGTTGGATGGGTCATGCCTTCGCTCTCTAAGGAAACCCAAATTCATGCCCCAATCCACAGCAGCACATTGCTCAGCTTCTATGTTGGTACTTTTGCCTACCTCTCTCAACACCTGCTGTACTAGGTAATACACTGACTATGGATAAGTACCTTATACAGTCCCACTTCAAAAAAATCCAAACTATTCCTTTAAAGAGTGTGTAAAAGCATAATTCACAAATAAAAACAAACCAAAGGCAATAACATAAGACTGTACATGGACATTTTAAATGTACTCTGCAAGTCAGAGTGCTTAGCTTCATTGGAAACTGGCAAATAACATTCCTTTACTGATGAAAGATTTGACATTAAAGAAGTAAACAGGTACCTGAGATCTTCTCAAGTATGAGTTGTGGGGAAAATTAATAAGCCATTGCCATACTGTTTTATATTTCAAAGCTAATTGGCACCACTAAACAACAACATTCACCATGTAAGCAAATAGTTAAAATGTTTTTAAACTTTAAAGTAATGTGTCTAACATATGTATTAGATCAGCACTTTAATGTCCATGTGCACTGTCATGTCCATGTTCCAGTGTTGCCTGATGTTAGTTGTCATGTTCTGTAGGTGGCATTTACACTGTTCTTTTTAACAGAGGCGACATGAATGATGCCAAGGATGAGGCAGCTAAAGCTCCAAGAAGAGAGAGACGGACCTCCGACACAAAGCAGGACCACACAGCTGAGGGTAAAAAAGACAAGAAAACTCGGTCACACAGATCCAAAAGCAAAGAAGAGGACACTGCTGAGAAGGATGACAAGCATAGCAAACACAAGGCTAAGAAAAGAGATAAATCTCGAAGCCGCAGTAAAAGCAGAGAAAAGAGTAGGAGGTCAAAAAGCAGAGAGAAGGCTCACAAGCACAAAAGTGATGATAGAAGAGGTCGCTCAAGGAGCAAGGACCGAAATGCTAATAAGAAAGAGAGGGAGTCAGAGTCTAATCACAGTAAAGATAGAAATAAGGGCCATGAGTCTGATAAAAAGCATAAAGAGGATACCAAAGGAAGGAATGGTGAGAGAACTAGGACAAAGTCACGAAGCAAGGAAAGACCAACTACAAAAGATGGGCACAGATCAAGTAGCAGGAACAAGGATAGGAGCGGACCTGTGGTGTCCAAAGACAAAGAAGAAAAACGAGAAAAAGACAAAGAGAGGGGCAGAGAACGTAGCAGGAGTCAGGACAGACGACACAACAGTGAAAGGGATAATAAGAAGCGAGGAACATCCAGGGATAAAGAACGTCGAACAAGAAGTCCAGACAGAAAGAAGCCTAGAGACTCTGGCAGAGGCAGGCGCTCCAGAAGCAGGAGTAATAAGAGGGACCACAGCAAAGATCGGTCCTCTCATAGGAAGGACAAAGACAGAGAATCTGACAACCACAGGAGAAGACATAGCAGCAGTTCTGAGAGCGATAGAGATGCGAAAAGGAAGACTCAAAAGAGTTCAGAGTCCAAACGAAGAGAATCAAATAGTACCTCCAGATCCAAAGACAGAAGAAGCCCGGCCAAACCAAGACCAGATAGTACAAAGGGCAAAGACAGAAATGACAGCAAGAGGAAAAAATCTAGCTCTAGCTCAGGCTCTGACAGTGACTGATGATATTCTTAGGGAATAGATTGGGAGTTTTGAAGTCTACCCCTATTTTATACCCATGACACGTGTAGTATGCAGCATCAGCTTTCCATCTAGAGGGGGATGCGTTCACTTTCCTCATTCAGTATAGAAAAACCTACTCCACAGTTCAGCCAAAGAGAGCATGAGTGTACAAAAGTCTGTCCAAACTAATTTCTTAAACTGTTAAAGGGATAAATAGATACTCCAACTTCATTACAATACTCTGAAAAATACTGATAATTGATACCTTAGGTATCATAGGTACCATAGAGAAAAAATAAATTGAGGGCATAAAATTTTAAATTATGTATTAAAAGAAAAATATAACAAGGCATAACATAACTTATCCTTTCTTGGTTAGCAGCAGAGAACATCAGAATGACTGTAGTAAACAAGTGCAGCTGTTACCAGTGTGTCGATGCTGCGGATAAGGACTAATGACAGTTTCAAATACATGTTTTTTGAGAACAGTACATTTGATCGCCCCCAGTTTTGAAGAAGCAGGCAGGAAGACCACCACAGAAGCTAAGCAATGTGGATGGGATGCACCAAAAAAGTATTTCTGCCACCAAAAAAGTGGATCTAATTTTAAATGTACGCTACATTTAATTTTCACTGCTTTACCTTTCTGTCAGGCAGTTATATCCATCTATGCTTTCTTCAAAGACACCAGACTCCTTTACAAAAACACTAATTTACTCCCAGAACAAGAGAACTGATGGCCTACAGTCTAATCCTTTAAAACATCAAAGTGATTTGGGGTGTTTTAAAGGGTTAGTTCAGGTTTACCAGTATCACAGTAACACAAACTAACCAATCAAGGCAACAGTTGACCAGCAACTCCCATGTTCTGTGAGGTAAAATTACTTCTTACTTGGAGTTCCCCATTGGAAATGGCTGTCAGACAGAAAGGTAAAGCTATGGAAATATTCTAAATCTAGTTTACAAGGTGGCTAAAATATGTTTTGCTGCTGCCCAGCCTCAGTGTATTACTTAACTTCTGTGGCTGTACTGCTGCCTGCTTCTCCAAACTGGTGGCGTGCCAACTGACATCCACTGTAGGTAGTACACCTACTATGGAAAGTACCTCATCCAAACTATCCCTTGATGAACTGTGAATACCGCTCAGACTTGCCATGGCAGACTGTTATGTGAGCTTTGGCTGAACTCTCGACTAAATTTTGGCACTGAATGGAAGTTCTGGATTTGACCCTCATTAAGTGCGTCACACTGCTGATGGGTAGCTGAAGCTGCACGGCCAGTTTAGAGGACACTGAAAAATAAAGTCATCTACTGTTGGTACTGCATCAGCAGTGAGTACCAGGTGTTCTTTTAATTGTACATGACCAGAGGAGGTCTTTTTGAAGGCTGTTTTTTTATTTTGAATTCTTTGGTAAATTATATTTTGACTTTACAGTAGTTGATATTTCAACCTGATTTTACTGTAACAGAGGGGACATTTTCTCCTGAAATCTGTTTAAGTTTGGCAAATGACATTTACTTGTCAAGTTATTTTTACTACAACAATCAATCTGGAAGACAAAACCTTCATTTCTTGCATGCTTATCCCCATCATTGTTACATTATGTACATCAATGACCTTTCTTTTGTACATCCACGCCCTTGTACTGTAATCCTATTTGTTAACCAGTTTTGAGATACCTCTGGTTTGTTTTTTGTTTTTGTTTTTTTGAATGGAAAAAAAATGTCATGCTGTAAGTACAACATAAAATCAGTTTCTATAAGTTTTGTTTTGTGCAAGTTGATTTTAAGAACTCGACTGCCATGTAGAACGATTAAAAGGTTTCACTTTGATTTTAATCATTGTTTTAATATTCTTTAAATGCTGATACATATGCAGTCTGTTTACTGGAAGTCCAAACATTATTCACATCCAAAATCACAGTAATCAACGAGTGTCAGGTTTACAACATTTTGTAGAACATAAAAACCTGTGCAAAAGGTTTTGATTGCGGCCGTCACCATCTTGTTTTTTGGAGCCAGAGGTGACCACATTTGGGCAAGAGGCTGGTGCTGTGGAGGAGCAAGGGGTGGATGTGACTGAGAAGCCAAGGAGTCTATCAGCAGATGTTCTGTTGCTCAAAGTGGCCAGTTATATAAAAATTAAGCCCCTGTACAATTGTCAAGAATGTTGGAATTAGCTGTAGAGACCTAAACTGTTTTTCCTACCAGGCTGTAAACATGTCTATTTCCGCCTTTAAAGTTGGGCATTCTAACATGGGGGTCTATTGGAAGTGATTTGCTTCTGGAGCCAGCCTCAAGTAGCCATTCAAAGAACCACAGTTTTTGGCAGTTCCATGTTGGTTTCATTTTTCAGCCCCCCCAAGTTGCTGCTTGATATGAACTGACTTGATGTGGTTGTTGGACATTGCCTTGAACACCTATCAGGATGTCCCATGAACACTATTTTAGTTCCACAGTGCAATGTGTTGTATTTTCTAAATATGAAAATTGGGCACAATACCTTTGTAACTGATGATGCAATATAATGATAATTCACAAGTTTCCAAAATCCCAATTTACATTTCACTATACAGTAGAGCTGCAACAATTAGTCCATGAATTGATAAGCTGATTGAAAGAAAATAGATCGGCAACTACTTTGATAATTGATTACCTGTTTCAGTCATTTTTCAAACAAAAATGTCAAACATTTGCTGTTTCCAGTTTCTAAAATGTGAAACTCAGCTGCTTCTCTGTCATTTATGACAGTAAATCAGGAATCTTTGGGTTTTGGAGTGTTGGTTGGACAAAAGAAGCAATCTGAAGACTTAACTTTGGAAAACCCTACTGCACAACACAGTATTAAGTGTCTATTATAAACAGAGAAGTGAATGAGCGACAAACAAAGTGACTTCACACATATCTTCTGTCAAAATATCTTGAGTATGTTATTAAAACATTAAGTATGTTTAACACTGGTGAAACCAGAACTGCCAGCTGGGTGTGACCTACGACCATGTAAACCCAAGTCTTTTCTTTGCATCTTGAATATTCATGACCTCATTAAACCTTTTAATGTTCTGGGTGGCATCAGAGACGTATGTGGGCATTTGAGCACCAGTGCTGTCCTGAACGAGGTAGCTCGGCCTGACTCCACTAAAAATGGGACCGAGTCCTCCTCCGATCCCTTCTCTCGCAGCTTTGCAAAGTGGAAACACATTTCGCTGAGCCTGCGCCGCTGCGTTGATGACGTCTTTTGAATACTGCTGAAACTGGTTTTCCTCTTCAGCTATGAGCTCTGCGTTCATCACTTGAAACTCATGCTCGTTTTTTCTCAGCTGCTGATTCCTGGCAATTTTTTGGGCCTGTATTTGAAGGATGAAAAATAAATGTCAAACAAGTGCCACAACTACCACCAAACCAAAACTATTCATTCTTGCATTAATGTGATGGAGATAGTGTGAACATTACCATTTCTGCGGCATTGAAGTCTTGTACTTTTCTTCCATCTTCTTTGACCTTCTGCGCCTTCAGTTGTTGTTTCTCAGTGAATATTCTGTCGGCCTCTTTCTTAGCCTCAAGTGTGTCTTGGGCGTTCTGTTTGGCTGCTTTATCCCTCTGCTCCTTTTCTTGCCTCTAAGGAAAACAAGTTGTGTCACAGGTATGAAAACATTTTGTTAGCTGCAGCAGGACTCTCAGGTGAAACCTGATCAAACTGCTGCTATTGACGAAAAATTAATCTTCACATTTTTTGAACCCACATGTCTATGGATGGATTACTGAAAGGGCCTACCAGGCACAGGCCCAGGGGCTTAAAAGGTAAGGGGCCCCCCTGGCCCTTCACCTGCAGAATGTCATTCAAATTACTGACCAAGAAGACATTCAAAATTACCAGAAAGAGACAGAAAGAACTGCAAAGAACTGCAAAGAGACACAAAATAACTACAAGGGGACACATAGTGACTACAATGAGACACAAAATGACTGTAAAAAACTGCAAAAAGATAGAAAATAACTATAAGGGGAAATGACCTCATAGAGACACAAAATTAAGCTAAAAGAGACTCAAACAACTACGAAAAGACAAGAATACAACCACAAAGACACAAAGAGACTACAAAGAGACACAGAACAATCACAAAGACACACAAAATGACCAAATTGAAATGAAAAAGAACTACAAAAAGACAGAAAATAACTCTTAAGGGGACCCAAAATGACCAAATAAAAAAAAAAAATTACTTCAGTAACACCAAATTACCTCATAGAGACACAAAATTAAGGTCAAAGACATCCAAACGACCACAAAAAGACAAAACTACAACCACAAAGATACAAAAAGCCTACACAGAGACACAAGATGATGACAGAGAAAGACAAAACAACCACAAAGGGACAATAACAAAGACTACAAAGAGACACAATATGATGACGAGACAAAACGACCAAAAAAGACGAAATTGCCTCAAAGAAAGTCAAAATTACCTCCAAAGAACTACAAAAAGACACAAGGAGACACAAAATGACTACAAAGAGAGACAAAACAATTTAAAACAAGACTAAATTACTTCAAAGAGACAAAAAAATAGCCACAGTCACAAAAATAAGACAAAGAGACAAAACAACCACAAGGACAAACAAACTAACGCAAAGAAAACACAAAATGACAACAAAGCGACAAAAAATGACCAAAAAGGACACAAATTACCCCAGTGAGACAGAAAACAACCACAAGGAGACACAAAACCACAAAACGATATATAATGAGTACAAAGAGATTTAAACACACCACCAAGTATTTGTCTTGCTCCTATGTAGGAAGGTGATGGGGCCCATTGTTTCATAATCCACCAATGCACAGGTCATGGTGACACATAAATGACTACATATTAATAGCTCGACAAAAGCTTTATGCCACAGTAAATTTGTGTTTTGCAGGTGTAGCATCTAAACCACTGTTACCATTAATTCTCTGTGAGCGACAATCGACTCCAACATTGCTGCCTTCTTCTCCTCCTCCTCCCTCTGCTGTTGGGCCTGTTTTGCATCCTGTTCAACGACAGCCTTTGCGATCCTCTGCTCCTCGTTGTCAGTCTGCTGCTGCTGCGTGACACTCAGCTTGTTCATGATCCTCTCGCGGCGCATCTGGGCCTCGCTGAAGAATGAAACAAGTATGACTGTGACACACCTGGAATCCACTGCATGTTTGACATGAAGCGAGGACACGGCTGTTGATGATGTTTGTTTTGCTGGCTCTTACCTAAACAGCTCCTTTTCTTTTTCTTTCCGTAACTTTATCATTTTTTGTTTTGCAGAGAGAAAAAGTTTCCTTTGCTCCTCTTCAGCCTCCTGTTTCTGTGCATCTGTCGCTTTTATGAGATCTCGATTGGAGATAAATTCCTGTAAATACAGAGTATACAGTCGTAAGTTTGTGTGTTAGACGTAAGAATACAAATACTAGATAATCCGTGCTGCTAAGGCCCCACCAGGTGAGCGTGCATGAGGTTTCTCTTCAGCTCTGCTTGTCTTTCTTCCTCCATCCTTTGCTCCCACTGGTAGAGCTCTTGAAGGCGTTGGGCTTCCTCTCCGTCCTTTTTGTCCTCTAACGTCTGTCGCTCTTTCACTAGCTCATTGTCCTTGATCCTAAAGAAAAGGAAGCATATTCTCTTGTGAGGCAACAATTTTTAACTCAAGCCTTTCTGTCAGATTATTACTTGAAATTAATCACAACCAGGAATAGTTGGCCTGCAAAATAGGACGTTAGGCACATATTCTCCTGCAGCATGTAAGTGCTGCTTTGGTTTGATGTGGCTTACTGTTTCTTTATGTCCTCTGCAACAGCCTGTCTCTCAAGCTTTTTCTGAAGTGCTTTCTCCTGCTCCTGTTTCAAGGCTCTCTCGTCTTTGTTCTTTACCGTATCCAGGAATTCCTTGTCGACATCTTTAGAGGCACTCTTGATTCTTTGCTTCAGCTCAATCTGAGCCTCCCTCTCCTTCAGGACCTCCGTCAGCAAGAGCGCACGCTGTGGAAGTAGTAACAGTCACTCACTATCCCAAAACATCAAACTTATATATAGCTAAACATGTACAACCCAGTGACACTAACATGTAACCCTTTAACACGGTCAGTTTGATAATACAGCTGAGTCTTGGCTTTTTCGACGGCCTCTTTCCGCTGCTGCTCCCGATATTCGGCCTCTTCTTTATCCATCAATTTCCTTTTTTCCTCCTCAATCTCCTCCCGGATCTTCTTTGCCTCTAGCTTTTTCTGCCTTTGACCCTTCGATACAGAGAAACATACAGCGTGTTAACCTTTTACCTTGATGCAAAGTATGCAACCTTACAACCACAGCAAGTAAAATCTGATAAAAGCCCAGTTCAGGTGACTTACAGCGATGGTATTGGACCACAGCTTCACCACTTCTTTTGACTGCAGGTGCAGGGCCTCTCTCTGCTTCGCTGCTTCTCTCATTCTCTCCTTGTCTTTATTAACCTGGTTCAGATCATCTTGAATCCTCAGCCATTCGGCCTTGGTTAAGACAGTGACTTGTCGGAGGTCTGGTGGCTGCATCATCCTGCTGGCTTCTTCAGCTGAAGACACTATAAGGAAGACATTACTGTAAGACGACAGACTGCATCTAGAACACATAATGGGCTGAAAATATGCACCATCACTTCGTGGACTGGCCAGATTAATAATTAAAAAGTCACATGTTAGAGCAAATGATTTTATCCAGGAAGTCATGTGATGCATATTTATTTCTTCCATGTTGCAAGTTTACATTCTGTAGTTACACATGGAACTAAATAGCAGGTATCTTAAGTGATTTTATTTATAGTCCCTGAATAACTTGGGATCAAGTTAGGCATTGCCTTTTGACATAACGACCTTTTTTTGTCTGTAGCTGAGCCTATAAGGGTCAGTTATACCCTATGATAAGTGATGTAGATTAGCATGTTGTTTACTTTAAAACTTGTAAATTTTGCTCTCAGTATAGTTTTTGTTGTATACAGTTTTTTTCCATACTGTCCAAAATGTTCTGAATTTTAAAGGCTCTTCAGATATATTTTCCCTCTTAATGAATTTGAATTGGTCTTTTTTCAGGCAAAAAAAAGTTAAATAGATGTATATGAGATAAGATAAGATAAGAGCAGTTGCAATACAAAGTTCTAGGAATGCATACAAAGCATGCAAGGACTAACATTAAGTAGAAAAGCAATGTAGCAAACCTAAACTACAATATATATCAAATTTAGAACTACATATACAAACTACATAACAATAAGGTGCAAATATAAGAACGAGCTCACTCTAAGGTACAAAATATAAAAATTACCTTACAGTAAAGTGCAAAAAAATATAACAGAATAACAAACAGTAAGGTGCAAACAGGTGCAGCCACTGTATACAATGGGTTACAAGTATAAATGTATTAAAAAATATGGTTGCTTATTAATATCAATGAAGGGATTCAATATTTTACCACCGATATTGTATCTTGTAACTACACAATATATGAGTGGGCACTTAAATTATTCAATAAAATGAGGGGAAAGTTCAACGCTTCTTCATAAGGTGAGGTTGTTCTTTGAGATTTTAACTATGGCCCTTCATTTGACAAATATGAATAAATAGAAAAACAGCACAGCAACCTTATAATAGGAAGTTGTTTTCATTTGAGAGTGGCTACAACAGTGGGCACGACAGATACATAAATATTAAACAACCTGTATATTCAGCGCCACTTTTAAATTGTTCTGACTTGAGCTTAATGTTGCAGTATTTAAATTATTAGCCATAACAGCTAACGTTAACAGCTAGCTACCTTCAGCAAAGTCAACCGAAACTCTGTTTCCTCAGCTCTCACCTCTCCTGTTGGAGCCTGTTCTCCGGCCGTGTTGAACCACCGATGCCATTTATATTTAGTATAATTCAGTAACTAAAGAAAGAAAGTTTACAACCAAATAAAACTGTTCAAATGTGTTAGTGTCTCCAGGTTACATACACAGCTGTGGTTGGGTCTGCATGTTGCGTCGTATCCAGGCAACGGCTGAACCAATCTGAAGCCTCTCCACTGATGACGACAGGTGGCGCTGTGCTTTCTAAAACAACATAGTCCTGAATGAACACCACACACCTGAACCCTGGCACTTGTTGTGAGATATTTTTTCTAATCATGCAAAATGTCTTTCAGAAAAATGCTGAAATTTAAAAATACATTGTTTGTTACAAGTATTTCTTTTGTTTACAGGGAACAAAACAAAATCTCTATTAAAGAAATGACTAAATAACTCTTATGCCAAACAAAAATCCTAGGAGGAATACAGGAGGAAGTGTGGGTCACAATATTATTGGCATCCTTTAAATGTCTTAAGACATCATTTTGTTTCAAGCAGATGAGTCCTCTGTCAAGATCTGTAAAATAAATAATAATAGTAGCTTTCATTTATACAGCACATTTCAAGCCTAAAGTGCTTAACAGGACAAGATCAGATGAAAATAAAAAGTAAGAATTAAAAAAAGAGGAAAAATAGAAAGTATAGCTACAGCAATAAGTGAAAGAAAGACAAACAAAAACAATTTGGTAACAAAACAACAAAACTTTAACAGTAATACTTGTAAAACTAACCCAAATTGAAAGCCAAGTTTAAAAAAAAATAAGTCTTTAATTTAAAAGAAATTTAAAAGAAATTCAAGGGGGTTTGCCCATCTAAGATCAAAGGGGAGGAAGTTCCACAGTTTAAGGTCATAAAACAAGGCCTCAGGCAGATTTTACAATTCAACTAGTTTAAATAGAGAACAGATGAGTCTGTGGGTTTGTGTCAGTGTTTGTTTCATGCCAGAAATCACACAAGATTGTAGTAGATTGTAGTAAATAATCCCACTCAAGGTCTGGTCGGCAGGTATGTCAGCTGTACGCCATACGCCTTCTTCACGACACCTTTTCAAATGTCACAGTAGAAAAAGCAAACGTAAATAATAAAACAAATTATTATTTTTCAGTGTGATAGTCCTACTGTACATGCTGGCTTACTGCAACACTTGCAACTTGCAACACAACAAAATTGGATTCATATGACTAATATTGTGGTTGCTCTGTATGTGAACTATGTGACAGGACAGACGATTCCGGTTTATAGCAGAGTAGTCAGAATAAAACAAGTTCGTACTTGACACATTACACATTAGACTGACACAGTTATACTGTGCAGCCACTCCTGCATGCAAACAGTTTACATGTGTTTAAAATCTAGTGTTGAGAGCAGATATAATAGTTTGACTGTGACAGTCTGGCACAAAGATAAGGGGGCTGTCATGTGCATTGTAATGAGTCAGGTGATGAACAGTGTCCGTTAAATTAAGACTGAAAAAATAGACTTTCCTTACCTGATTTACTGTTAAATGAAGGAATGAACACAAGGCCGGATGTAACAAGGGGGTGAGCAACTTTGATGTTCTTTGAAGGATTAAAATGATTTCAACAAAACTACATATGTTGCATTTCATTAGCCTCATATGAACCTACAGACAGTGAGTTTATGGTCATGTATCACCATAAAATAAACCTTTTTTAGAGTATCCTTCATTTGAACAATTTGTCATTTTTTTTCCAGAAAAGGTTACCTGTGGTATTCAGGATATTTAGGGATGAAATGTTTTGCATGTTTAAAGAAAAATGGTGTGTTGAAATAGGGTATAAACCAAAACTACGAACTCATTGTCTCATGAAGAATAGTTAGTGTGGAACCTTATGCGAATATAATCTAAACAAAGATTATTATAATTAGCCTTCGAGGCTGGGAGGTTTAACGCCACCCCAGAGGAGGACAGAATTTGTTTGCTGTGTCATTTAGGTGACATTAAGAATGAGTTTCACTTCTTGTTTTACTGTCCTGTACATGAAGACATAAGGAATGTACTTTTCAGTGGAATGACCTCTGTGTATGTTGATTTGTTTTGGTTGGATGAGCATGAAAGATCTGAGTTGTGTTTCGGAAAGGGAACCTTTTATGAGTAGTCATAATATATAATATATTGAGTTTATAAAATATGATGCACTGCTACAGGTAAACTACATTTAAAGCCAGTCAAATTAAATTGAAATGTTACTTACATTCAGTGCATAAGTAGCTTTAATCCACTATTATACTAAATAAAATCATACTGACATAGCCTATTATCTGCATATATAGTCTACTTATAGTTTTTATATTAAAAGGACATTATGTACTCTATTTAAGAAACATTTTGAATGCATGCTTGCAGCAAACACTTATGATGTTGCTGTTTTAAGTTAAAAAAAAAAACACTGTTGATGGGCTGTTACTTAAATTACAATGGTCTCAGCATTTGCCCAAACTGGTTTCCAGTATGCAGAGCTCGCTTTATGTTACGTCATAGCAGGAGATGCACGAGAGGCGGGTTCACTCTGAAAGGGGGCCGTCTTAAATCCGAGGAAACCATTCAAAACCAGCAGAGGGAAAGCAACTCCCCGTGTCCATCACTCCACGAAGGCATCAGCTACCCACCAACACCAGTTACCCACCAACTAGCAGCCCGGAGAGAAACCCCCCAAGATGGCCCCTATCTCCATCAAGACTGTGCTGATCAGTGAAAGTGTGGACCCTCGCTGCAGGGGCATCCTGGAGGAAAACGGCATCCGAGTGACGGAGAAACAGAATATGAAGAAGGATGAGTTACTGGCGGAGATTAAGGTGAAGTTGGCACTCGTGCTGCGTTCAGGTGCATCGGGTGTCGATTTTGTTGCAACGCAACTTGCAGCCATTCTCCAATCGTGTTTAAAATAGTTTTCTCGCTTTACTTGACATCATTTTAAGAGCTCGCGTGATTTTTGCGGATCCACTTGAGAAGGGGGAAGTGTCTGAGCGGCAACTATTAAGAAGCACCTGTGGTTTTTACGCACAGTTTAATGTAAGGTGTATGCACGTTGTGGCATTTTCACTGTCGCTTTTCCTGTTCAGTCTGACACGTATTTGCAGGGTTGAGATATAACAACAATTGATTGTTCTGTAGCTGTGGTACCGCCCCTGGGAAGCTGATGCAACTCATCTGTGAGTTTACCGGCTCTCCCATCACTTGGTCTGAGCGCCACATGCTGCAGATAGGAAGCTGTTATCATGAGGCTGTGCATTAAACGCATATTTGCCTTGATTTTGTAGATTAGAAATAGAAACAATGGGTTGCAGTGGATGTGTTCTCATACAAACTCAGGGTTCAACCTTAATGCTGTTCCATTTGTGGTTATCAAATAACAGCAAAGACCAAAGTTAAAGGGGAACACCGCCTAAATTAAGAATTCCAATATGTCATTTCCATGCCCTAGGAAAGGCTGGTCAATATTTCTAAACTTGAGCAACTCTCTCCCAAAGCCAGAAACCAGAGAAGGAAGTCTCAAACTTGTGATGTCATAGGCTATAAAGTCTGGAGCTGCTCCATAGACAATGAATGGGAACTTGATTTATTGGATCCATGACTGTTTGAGCTTTATTCTATTGTAATGTTCTCAGTTCTGAAACAGAAAATATATCCATATACTCAGAACATCGCCCTGGGTGCTTTCAGTGGCGTCTACGTCTTTCCCAAGTCATTGTCTATGCAGCAGCTCCAAACTGTACACTTACTAATATTTTTTGACTGTCTGAGACCACAGAAATAACATGTAGGAATGCTGTGGTTAATGTTAATTAAAATAAAGGAAATGGAACAAGGTCACAGTGTGTCACAGATGCAAAGCAGCAAACATTCCTGCATATTAAAAATGGTATGTCAATCTCCCTTTCGTCTCCTTTGAGTAAGTGTGTGAGTGACAGTAAGGGCTATAGCAGATGCGTTGCATCCATAAACCTGAAGCTCACTCCTTAGCTACTTTGATCATCAGCTTCAGATAAAATTATGCATTTACCACTTCCCTGATTGGTCAAGTGAGTTTCTAAATTTACTAGCCTGCTGTGGCATTTCATTTGCCTAGGGCAAACCTTAATGTTTAACAGTAGATTCAGTGCAGGTTTAACTCTCTGTTAGGCCCTGGTGCAGCAGTGAATTTGTGGGCCCCTGTTTAACCACTGACCCCAACCCAATAGGGCTACATCTTCACTAATATGTTATAAAATGCCCAACTATTGCTGCGTTTACGCCAAGTGTCCACACTACTCTGTTGTTCCCGAACCCATACAATGGAGACTCTTGAAAATGCTGCTGACCCTGTTTTAATTTAAAAACTCTAGTGTTGCATTTTAGTTTGGATGGGCAGAGAATGCTGACATAGGCACCCATGTTTGCTTCCTGATTAGGCCTTAGCAGTCACAATGTGTTAAGCCAAAACACACCTTTTGTTGTTTCATCCTTTCAGTTTTGGCACTGACATGGCTTCCTCTGGCGATGGATAATGCTCTAATATGTTGCCGTACTTGCTTTGCAACAACTCCCAATCTGTTTTCTGCCACCTTTACACCTACAGTATGTTACTTTCATAGCTGTTCCACCTTGTTGTTGGTCCATGCAAAGAAACCTGCCCAGGAAGGTAAAGGGCATGTCAGTATGCGTTTCAGGCATGTTAGGAGCGGAGAATGTATTGTTTTAAATTGAAAACATCTTAGGTAGTAGAGATTGTATCTTGTGTTTCATAAACCACACAGTGTTCCTACCTGCCCTTGTGTGCGCTGTGTACCAGTTACTGTGCTTTCACACCTGCAGCTGTAGAGGCAGATAATGTATTATTTTATACTAAAGGTGAAAAATAAGGTCAGTTACACAAGGTTTAGGAAGCAGCTAGTCAAATATCAGATTTGGCAGCAAAAAGGACCCATAAGAGGTGTTTTGATAATTTGAGTAGTTTGTGCGTAAGTCAAGCCTTGGGAGGTTAAATGAGGGAGAACGTTCTGGGTTAGGTTGACCTGACCGTTGGAACAGATGTGCCAAGTTTCGCAATAGGAACAGTTGTTTATGCCAGAGAGACAAAGAAGATAGAAAATATTGAGGCACGAAGTTCAGCTCTAGGAATAAGTAGGAAATCAGGAGAACTTTAGATTTCCAGGAAATACGACCCAAGCGTGTTTACACACACATACACACACGCAAGTGAACGAGCAGACGCCCATTATAAAAGCATTTGAAGGGTGATTGCTGTTTCGCTGTTTCCATCTGTTTTGCTGTGTAGACTAGCATACTGTTGTATGCTGAGTTCTGCGAAGTAACCCCGTTGGCTGTAACTTTCCTCCGTGGTTCTCCGAGTCTCTTCATTTCAGTGTTTGTTGAGCGTTTTCCTTACATAATTGGCGTTGTCGGCAGGATGAGGGCAAATCCCACAACAGTACAAGTCGAAGGAAACACGACGTGGTGTTTTCTGAACCAATCACCAGGCAAACTGAGGACGAAAGAGAAGACAAGGAGCACGGGACATCCACTGAAGGAAGCAATGCACAACCGTGTTCTTTTCTTCAGGTCCAGACCTAGAAAAAAAATAGACATTGTTGCTTTTTATTTATATATATTTTATATATATATATATATATATATATATACACACACACACACACACACACACACACAGAGTAGGGCACAAGCTAAACACACCTCTGGTTCAGCTCCCTTTAACTTTGTGATATGTGAGTGAAAATCTCTGATCTCACAAGCTGAAGTGTTGCCACGGTTACAGAATGATCTTGTACAAATAGGCCACTCATCATGAGTTACACAGATTTTGCTTCTAGCCTTGTAAACAGCTCAGGATCAGCTGTAGTTTACTGAATTTATGCAAGAGACACACATGCCGCTATCACACAGGCCTTTGGGTCGGTCCATTTGCAGCAAACCACACCAGAGTTCAGAGCCTGGAGGCAGATTAAGACACACTTCTTCAGACGGTTTCAATCCAGTTGTCAATGCTGTACCAGACCTGGGATTGGGTTGACAACTCTCACTCACATTATCCCAAACAAACAGTACTGACCGGGTTTAGGTGTGAAAGCTCCCACATACCTCTTTAAAACCAGTGACCAGGGTCAGACTGAGGGTTGTCTGACCCGTGTTCAACCCTTCTTTTGTCAATTTCAGTCCGAGCCACCCAACACAGGTTAATGCCTGGCTGTGACAGTTCAGGTATTACCTGGGTCACAACCCGGGAGCAATGCATATCAATTTCCTTGCATATCAAACACTTTGCATTGACCAGAGTACCACAAAGTATTGACACACAGTGAATCTGTGGGTTTAGGGGTCCTTGAAGGTTTTTGGCCAAAGCCTTGGGTAGATCACACAGATTTAAAACACCATGAGATCAACCATATACTTTCCTCTCTATCCTAGGACTACGATGGCCTTGTGGTTAGATCTGCAACAAAGGTAACGGCTGATGTCATCAATGCTGCTACTAATCTCAAAATCATTGGGAGAGCTGGAACTGGTGTGGACAATGTGGATGTAGACGCTGCAACCAAAAAGGGTATTATTGTCATGAAGTAAGTCACCAGTCTGTGCCTAAATTCAACTTACTACGCAGTTTCAGTTTAATGTAAAATGTCCACTAACTGTATACTGTTTTCTCAAGCACACCAAGCGGTAACACGATCAGTGCCGCCGAGCTGACATGTGCACTACTGATGAGCCTCTCAAGGTAAGATGAGCAACTGTCAAAATGTTGAGTCTTTTTAGTTGCAGAAGTACTGTAAAAATGTCATTATTTGGCCTTTCTGTTTCTAGAAATGTGCCTCAAGCTGCAATGTCCATGAAACAAGGGAACTGGGATCGCAAAAAGGTAGGCAGAGATTTTGTTTGCAGTTGGCACACAAAGCGATTACTGTTGCATGGTCAGCTCCATTGTCCAGCCAGTCATCACTAAGCAGATGTGTCACTTGGACAGGGTCATTGTTTTGTCTCTAATTTTACAGTTCATGGGTGCAGAGCTGTACGGCAAAGTACTCGGAATAGTTGGACTTGGAAGAATAGGAAAGGAAGTCGCCTCAAGAATGCAGTCATTTGGCATGAGGGTAATTAACAAGATTATACAAGGCTCGTCTCATTTCTCATTGGTTAATTGCGCTTTGATGCTTAGATGAACAAACATTGCAAGACATGTTTCATTTTGTCTGCTCAGACGATCTGCTACGATCCAATCACTCCTCCTGAGGTGGCAGCCAGCTGGGGGGTGGAGCCGATGTCTCTGGAGCAGCTGTGGCCGCAGTGTGATTATATCACTGTCCATACTCCCCTAATGCCCTCTACTGTTGGTGAGTTTTACTGAAGCTCTCGTGATTATATAACCAGCTGTACTGAAAAACTGTGATTTGTTTTTCACTTGTTTTCTTTTTTGTGCTCAAGGTCTGCTTTGTGATGAAACATTTGCTAAATGCAAGAAAGGAGTGAAGGTTGTGAACTGTGCACGAGGGGGCATCATCGACGAGGCTGCTCTCCTCAGAGCTTTGGAGTCCGGGCAGTGTGGAGGAGCAGGGCTTGATGTCTTTGTTGAGGCAAGATTATTTGAGCACACAATATAATGGCGATAGAATAATGACATCTGCATTTAGATTGGTTTCCTGAGAAGAGTTTTAAAGTTGTCTGTTTACATTTTAATCACTCATTGATACTAATAAAAGAGTTCCTCCAGCCTCCATCTTACATCGTGTTTACATTTGACCACAGGAGCCTCCTAAGGACCGCTCATTGGTCAACCATCCCAATGTCGTCAGCTGTCCTCACCTGGGAGCCAGTACGAAGGAAGCTCAGGCTCGCTGTGGGGAGGACATCGCTCTGCAGATTGTGGACATGGTGACTGGGAAGAAGCTGGTGGGAGCAGTAAGTTCTACTCTACATTTTCAAACAAATCAGTGCTCACTCCTGGAGAGTTGCTGCAACACATGTTAAAGGAGCATTTCCATAAAGCTGGAGGGGACCAGTTAAAGCAAGATATATAAATACATAGAGTATATGCAATTTGATGCACTTAGGTTGTCACATATCTTTTCACACTCAACAAAAAAGATTGTATGATATTGGAGAAGTTAGTTTTTGTCTTTAATTTAAATTTTTGTTAGACTTTATTCCCATGATAATTCTAGCAATAAGGCACCACAGCTATAAGTAAGCAGTAGAGGTGGGGGTAAAAAATCGATACAGCATAGTATTGCGATATTTTTGTGTAGCAATATCGTATCGTCACACAGTGCAAAGTATCGATTTTTTTCATTATAGAAATTATTAATAATGCAAAGCATTATTAAAAATTTGTAGCCTGCTAGAATAATATAATAGATTGCTTTTTCAGTCGACAGGATATATTTTGATAAAAGGTAATAAATTGCAATGTATCACAATTTATTTTATCGCAATACTCAGCATATTCCAACAGATTTAAAATCGAAATAATTTGTATCGTATTGTATGGACAGAGGAAGCTGAGGTAAATGGAGAAACAAATGAGTATTTACACAAATACAAATCCTGCTTCTGTTCTTGTAGTCCCCGAAATTGCCAGATTTTTTTTTTCTATGAAAAAGATGAAGCTAAATTGGCAGCGCATTCCATCTCAAATAAATCAAAGGTCTCTTTCTTATTATCTTAGTATTTTGGAATATGTGATGCATGCATATGCTTCACACACGAGACATCAACCAACCTCTTATAGTCTTCCGAGTAAGCCTTAACTTTTACAGTCAGCATTTATACAAGACTTGCAAAAGTGGCTTGTTGTCAGCATTAGGTCATGGAGTCACTAAACTAGTTATTAAGGCTCAACCTAACAGACTCTCAGACTTAAACACACATCTGATGGTTGGATAAAGGCTGTCATACATTAGTCCATAAGTCTTCAGACTATGCTTTGGGAAATTATGCACAGTTCAGGCATCTTATCATTAACAGTACATTGTGAATTAACTCCAGTCCTATATCTTATATTCAGGCAAGTCTGCATTCTGAAATGCATCATCATGTATTGGCATAGATGACCTTGAGTCCTCATACCTTGTTATTTCAGAGGCTGGTATGTTTTCATTCCAGCCAAATGACTAATATGGTTGTTTTCATGATTTTGATCAGCTGCCTTTTGTAAAGCTAAGGTCACACTGCATGACTTTCAAAGTCATGAGATTGCTGCACTGTTCACACTACACAACTTGCTGTCTTATAATCGGGAGTCTCAAAGTCGTGGTTTTCACACTGCGTGACTGACTGGTGACTTGGGGTCACACACTACAGGATCTTTGACTGGGAGGAATCCCCAATAAGATTGAGAGGAAGAGAAATGGTGGAAGGTGGACTGTTGCACGCAATATTAATAGCAAACACAAACACACACACTTTGGAGAGCACAGCAGCACCGCTCGTCTCTGTCTTCAACCCATACCTTGCGTTCTCATTGGCTGTAGCTCATTGATAAAGTGCCCAACAGCTTCAGATATGAAGCATGATAATATCTGAGCTCAAAAGATTGAATACTAAAATGACGTTTTGAGATTGTTGTGCCCACTGCTCTTTCCAAGGTCGAGATAACTTTCAATGAAAACACTTTGAACAGCGTTGCACTTGGTTGATTGAGTCTGATTAACATCTGTAATTCTGTCTCTGAACTGAAAGTCTGAAAGTAGAGGAGGAAATATTATAAATAAAAAGAACCCACAAAGATATTAACAAATGGTTATACAATCAGACTTGTAGCATTGGAGAAAAGGTGGGAAGAGATGAGAGAGATTAAGATTAAATTTTATTGATCCCTTGGTGAAATCAACAAGACACCTTGCAGTATTAATAATAAAAAAAGTAATCCCCACTCTTAGCTTGTATCATGGCTGTAATGTTGGTCTCAAAATGCTTAATTGCATCTGTTCTCCAAATTTGTGATCACATTCAGTTCACAAAAGCACACTGATTTCATGTCTTCTCCTTTTTTGTAGGTAAACGCACAGGTTTTGGCCAGCACTTTCTCCCAGGAGTCTCACCAGCTGATCAAACTCGGAGAAGCTGTCGGAGCTGTGCTGCAGTCGTGCTCTGCTTCTGTGAAGCCGTTTAAACATGTCCAAATTACTACTCAAGGTAAGACTAACTGGTGTAACCAGTTTATGTAATCTGAAGAGGAGGGGTAATTGTGTGTATTTCCTCCCTCTGGTGGTGTGATTGTGAAACAGGCACTGTACTTAATGCTTTTCAGTTTTTTCTGAAGTCAACATATTTGCTTTCACCTGCTGATAGTGACAGTAAACACTATGTGCTCTTTTTTTCTTCAAACTAGGGGATTGCATGAAGTCCTCCACTGGTTACATGACTTCATCAGTACTGGTCGGACTGCTGAACCAAGAATCCGGCAACTGCCCGAACCTCATCAACGTACTAAGCCTGGCCAAGGAGTCTGGCATCATGGTACAACATCAGCTCACTCTGGGAAATGCCACATGATAATAACAAGTGTAAAGAAAATAACCTTTTCATACATGTAAACCAACTCTCCAGGTAAACCATACCCACTGTGGGTCTGACGGGGCTGCCAGTGATGTGTGTAAGGTGGAGATCGAGGCCAACGGCTGCAGCTACAAAGCCAGTGGCTCAGTTCAAGGTGGAGTGCCGGTCGTGCTGGAGCTGGGCGATAGTGTGTTCAGACAGCCAGTCTCTCTAACTGGAAACCTGCTGTTCTTCAAGGCCTCCGCAAGTCCTCAGCTCCTATCCTCAGTGGCTGGTAAGAAACTTAAAAGTGAGCCTGTAGTTCATACAGGTTTTCAAAATCCCTGTCACTATGTGAAACTGTGTTTTATGTAACATTTTCTTTTGCAGGGATTTAGCACTTTTAATGACAGGGCTCTCTTCCCCATGCACAAATGTTAACCTTCAGACACGATTTTCTCAGGGCACCATCGCTCCATCCTGGGCTGCAGCTCAAGACAATTGCGACTGGTTTAGAAAAATACAAACAACCCAGAGTGTTTTTTGCCATTAGTTTGGAATTATGATGGATTCAGCCAGACATTTGTGCTGGAGAAACATCTGGCTATGCAAGACTAGTATTCAAGCAATTCACTTGAGTAAGTGAAGCTTTCATGGTAATGTTACATACAACATGCCCAGACTGCATGGACTCACAAGACATCACAATATCATATAAACCAGATCCAGAATCAAACATATTAAAGTACATAAATCTCTGACAAAACATGTTATGTACATCCATCCATCCATTTTCATCCGCTTATCTGAAGCCGGGTCGCGGGGGCATCAGGCCAAGCAAAGCACCCCAGACATCCCTCTCCCCAGCAACGCTTTCCAGCTCCTCCTGGGGGACCCCAAGGTGTTCCCAGGCCAGACAACATATGTAATTCCTCCAGCGTGTTCTGGGTCTACCTCTGGGCCTCCTACCAGTGAGACGTGCCCAGAACACCTCTGACAGGAGGCACCCAGGAGATGCCTGAACCACCTTAATTGACCCATTTTGATGCGAAGGAGCAGCGGCTCTACTCTGAGCTCCCTATGGATTTTTGAGCTCCTCACCCTATCTCTAAGGCTGAGCCCAGCCACCCCATGGAGGAAACTCATTTCGGCCGTCTGTATCCACAGACTCATTCTTTCGGTCACTACCCAGAGCTCATGACCATAGGTGAGGGATGGACCAATAAATTGAAACCTTCACCTTCTGGCTCAGCTCTCTTTTCACCACAATTGTCCGGCGCAGTGCCCACATCACTGCAGAAACCGCACCAAACTGCCAATCCGGGGGCAGACTGTTTTAGACTCTCATCTTGATAAGTCCGTTTCCCTTTTTTGGGTGTCTTTGCAGTGTAGGCAGTTGTTGCCTACGCTGCTGACATAGCAACTTTTTCTGCAGGATTCTGTGCCATTGAATCAGGCTTTGCCATCGGAAAGGACATGCACAAGTATTTGCAATTGTAAAATAGCCAATAGGAACGCCCGCTCTCTGAAATGACCTGTGATCGGATAAAGTTTCCTGTCACAGGCTACATTTTCTAAAGCCTGAAGTGAGAGCCAAAAGGAGGTGCAGAAGTCTAGTTTTCTCTCAGCCCACTTGAATCACAATATGCTGAAAGGCCATTATGGAATTTTAGCCCAATGATGCCAAAAAAAAAGCTTACACCAGCATTAACACTTTGAATTTGGATGAAAGTTGGTTTTGAGTTATGACTTCTCCGGACTTAATAACTGTGTTTGTCTTCCTTTAAAATCACACCTATTTTCTCTTTCCCATTGTTCTTTGTTTAGGACTTCTGGCCACAGAGGGAGTGGAGATTGAGTCCTTCAGTGCTCCCGCAGACCGCACTGGGGATCTGTGGTATTGTGTGGGGGTGTCCTCTCTCCTGCGGGACCTCAGTGCCTTGAAGCCTTTGGTTAAGGAGGCTGCACAACTCAGCATTTAGATAACAGCAACAATGCAATCTGAAAATCTAATCATCTCCAAAGGGTGTCTAAAATAATTCATCCGACTTGGTCTTAGTATTCACTACTAACAACTTTGTGTAGAAGTTGTACATTTACTGTACAAAACTTTTTGACATAGGGGTGTAACAATACGCAAATTTGTATTGAACCGTTCGGTACGAGGCTTTCGGTTCGGTACGCATCACAAACTGAAAGATACATTAAGCTGTCCTGTTACATTTGAAAAGAAAATATACCGTTTAAACTGTGTTTAATATAAAGTTCTCAGAGCCACTGTGCTCAACAAGGCAGCCAAGACGCCTGAACAGGCAACCTCTGTCTGCTCTCTTTAGCAGCCAAGCTAGCAGCACATGTAGTCACTGCACATACACCCTAAACAAGGGAATGAAAGCCACTGCGTGGCTATAACCTCTTGGTCAGTAGCCAACAGCAGCTAATGTAATCACAAAGCACACACCCAGAGCAGTGAGCCATAACTAGTTGTGGGCCGGGTAGATGATTTGGCCAGAAAGACTAAGAGGTACATTAACAACGGCTATTTTGCTTGTGTTTATATGATTGTGGCATTTAACAGAGATGTTTACTCACATATTTATTAGACTGACAGAGCTGAGAGCTTGTGAGATGTAGCAAACTTGAAAAGTTAAAAAAAAAGATTTTTTCTTTTTGCGTTTCTACTTTTTTGCTGTATTGAAAACGTACCGAACCGCAGCTCTACTGTATCGTATCGAACCAAACCGTGAATTTTGCAAACTGTTACACCCCTATTTTGATAACATTCCAATGTTTAGATGCTTTACATGCACTTTGATTAAGTAAAAAAATGTGTCAGTGTCATGCTGATCAGTTTGTTTGACCTTTTTAAAGTGGAAGTGTAAAATAAAGTACACTTACTTACATTGTGCTTTCAAGTGAGTGTTTTTTATTCAACGTCACACTTTGACTATACATTTTAAAAGGGATGTACTGAACCAAGTTGCAGGTCTGTAAAGCACACATGTACAGTTTATTGCAATCCAATACATATATACCTGTAAGCATGCAGACATATACACATGGCTGCGAATACATACACTCCGATACACGCAATAAGTCTCAAGTGTCAGGAAAGGCCAATCTGTAAAAGTATGTTTTCAAAAGAGATTTAAAGACGTGAACAGAGTCAGCTGATCTGATGCTCAGTGGGAGGCTGAAAAGCCAAGGAGCAAGAACTGAAAAGGCTTGATTGAAACCTTCTGAGACAGAAAAGAAAAGCAGTGCAAATACTCCCAATAAAGCGCGAATACTGATTTTTTTTTTTTTTTTTTTTTTTTTTAAAAGGTGGCTAAAATACATTTATTGCTGACCATCCACAGTAGTACATTGCTTAGCATCCATGTCGGACTCCAGCCTGCTTCTCACAACAAACACACATGGTTGGGTTTAGGAAACAAAAACACATGGTTAGCTTTAGCGACAAAAACACGTGGTTAGCTGTAGCGACAAAAACATGTGCTTAGATTTTAGGAAAAAAGAACAAGGTTTGGCTTTAGAATCTTACAGGACAAGAACACCGCTCTCTCAGGTGAAAGTTGGTGTTTGTTGGACCCATCCACCACCCCTCCCACCTGCCCCATTCGGACTTTCACCGCCTTGTCTTTCATCTTTGTCCTGACACCTTTCCCCCTGAAACTGTAACCCCATTTCAAGTGAGCAGTAGCTTACGATGCGGTTCAGTTCAGTACACTTTTTTTCCGTTTCCAATGCGAAACATTGTGGATGGTACTGATGGAACCTTTCCTGACCATTACCCTTCCATTACCATAGAAATGCTAGGGTCTAGGTACCATATCTGAAGAATACTTTAAAGGTACATTAATGAAAATTCTTATGATGGCAAATGGATGCATATCATGCTGACGTAAAAAGGACGTCTTTTTTCGTCAGTTTCTGACCCCGCAAGTCACTGCTCAAGGGCTGGATTTCGACAACTTCAGAGTGAGACTGGGCTCTACAGCTCTTAAAAAATAACAATAACAATAATAAAAAAAATCTTTAAAAAAGCATCTTAAAAAACTTAAATATTAAAAACAATCTTAAAAAGAAAATGCAACTTTAAAAAAATCCGAACTATCCCTTTAAAATAGAATTTCGGCCCCTGCTGTATATACAAATATATCCCCCTTTAAAATGGGCCTTTCTTCATATGACTTCCTGAGATTGAAATTTGTTTTACTGATATTAAGGTCTAATTTTCTATGTATAAACTCAGAGAATCACCTTAAAGATTTAAGATTTTGTCTTATGCATTTAGTGTCCATACTGTATTTCAAGACTGTTTCTTCTCTCCTGCGTGCTTGAATTTCATGTAAATTTTCACTGTTGAACGAGTCAAACTAGCTGATGTAGTCATATCTCTCAGATCTTGTGCAGGAGTGCATATCGTGCACTGTGCTGTAATCCTTGTTAGGATTAGGTAAAGCCTTGGCCACACTGAAAGTGGGCTCTAAACGCCATGGCAACGACAAGAATGGGGGAAAACATGAATAGAGAACAGTGCAATGGCTCCATGTTGTTGCTGCGCTGCAGGCGACGCTCATTTGTGTAAGATTTGTATTCTGTGAGTGATGCTTTTCCGCCTGTTGGGTACACTAATGCGCCGCCCGTGAGTGCATCACGAGACTGTGGATGGAGGTTATATTTAGGCTCTGGGGGGAAAAAACACATAGCGGTGTTGGGTGATTCCTCTGAATGGTTGCTTGGTTTTGTCAAGGACCTGCTGGTGGAGACTTGCTGCAGGAGAGGGGAGGAGGGGGGATGGACGCTGCGCACAGATACCAAAATAGGATAGAGCTGCCTGCGTCTGTCGTGCACGGGCTAAATTGAGGCTCATGTGTGTTTATGAAGAAGAGCGTTCAGAGAGAGGACACACTGTCGAGCAGCACGGGTCATTCATGGAAACAGGGTGAAGGGTAAGCCTATAGTATTCTCTTACTGAGTCTATCCTTCTGTTTGTGAATGACATGGTGCATAAGGGTCAATGACAGCATGTTTTCAAGGCAGTAATGTTAATATATGTTGAGGGGGCCACATGGTGCAATGTGCTGCACCAATAATAACACTTCACTTTAGTCAGGACATGCATGCAAATATAACATCAATGTCAGTGTGTCATTTTGTGCTGTGGCTGTATGGTAGGGGGCAGATCCTCTTGGCAGATTTGGTCCCCTCCAGTGTTGACTCAATGGCTGCTTCGGCCTTGCTTTGCTTTATTGCCAGTCTTCACAGCAGATTGTGCAATTGACACGCTGTCCTAATTTCATTTTCCATAGATACCATGTCACATGAGCAAGCTGAAATCTACACATATGACTTCTGTGATGGTGACCACCCAGCAGAGCTCCTGGATGCTCTCAGGCACTTCTACATCAGTGGCTTGTTTACAGACGTTGCTCTACAATGTGGCGAGTCTGGGCAGGTGTTTCACTGCCACAAGGCGCTGCTGTCAGCCCGCAGCTCCTATTTCAAAGTCATGTTCACAGCTGACATGAGGGAGAGGTCAAACAGCGTCATCAAACTCACCGGGGTGGACTGCGGCATCTTGGGTGTGCTGGTGAATTATGTGTACACAGCGCAGGTGTGCATCACTGAGAGCAACGTGCAGAGTCTGTTGGAAGCTGCTGACCTGCTGCAGTTCATATCTGTGAAACAAGCATGTGAGGAGTTTCTCATTCGCCTCCTGGATGTGGACAACTGCCTGGGGATGCATGCTTTTGCTGAGCTGCACCTGTGTCCCGGTCTAGAGAGGGAGGCCCGCAGAGTGATGCTGAGCAGGTTCATGGAGATCATTCAGCAGGACGAGTTCCTAGAGCTGGACCATGAGAGGATGAGATCAGTTTTGGCAGCTCAGAACCTCACAGCGCAGAGGGATGAAGTGTTGATAGATGCTGTAGCCAAATGGGTGACCCATGACTTGGATAATCGTGTTCACTGTGCTGCAGAGTTGCTGCACTCCATCCATCTGGACCTGGATGAGATTTACTTCAAGACCACTTTAGAAGTGCACAGACAATGCTCTCTGAACAGTAAAGGGGCGTTTAAATCTCTGATCGTTCAGGCTTTAAGATCCAATGGTAAGGAGATGTGTGCAGGCAGAAAAATGTCTTCCAACATGTATATCATTGGTGGATACTACTGGCACCCTCTCTGTGAGGTTCACATATGGGATCCAATCAGCAACACCTGGGTGCAAGGAAAAGACATGCCTGACCACGCAAGAGAGAGCTACAGCGTCACCTTACTTGGAGCAAATATCTATGTGACTGGTGGTTACAGGACAAACACTGTTGAGGCTCTGGACACAGTTTCTGTTTATAACTGTGACTATGATGAATGGACCGAGGCTTGCCCCATGATCACAGCTAGATACTACCATTGCTCGGTGGCTTTGCATGGCTGTATTTATGCAGTTGGAGGATACAGAGGAGGAGCTCCAGAGCAAGAGACTGAATATTATGATCCCCTGAAAAAGAAATGGTTCCCTTTGGCCAAAATGATCCAAGGTATGCAAAATATTAATTGATTTATATGCTTTGATTAATTGAAGAGGAAGATTTGCATGGTTGTCATGGTATTGTAGATGTTCCCATAGTGTTTAGTAAAAAGGAAACTTCTCCCGGGTGCCAAGCATGTAGGAGAACTATGGTGGCCAACACAAAAACCAACACATTCTCACTCCTGCCTCATCACATATTGACATTTGGTCATGGACTTTGAACGTCAAGATATGACGTGAAAGATACCCTGGTTGCGTAAGTTGGTGACGTTCTGGGACGCCGTGTCAAGTTCTGCCTGTTACATGCATTGTCTTCTTTCAAAATACACTTCCGTTTTCACAGAAAATATACAGTTTACATATAGTCTCTTTCAAAATAAATGCAATACGTCAGTACAACACCGCAAATTGACGTTTTCTTTCCTTCAAGAACAAACACGCTGGGTTCAGGCAACAAAAGAACGTGGTTAGGTTTACGAAAAAAAGAACAGGAATTGGCTTTAGAATCTTACAGGATGCAAATACCGCTCTCTCGGGTGAAAATCGGTGTTTGTTGGACCCATCCTCAACAGACAGGAGGGGTGGAGGATGGGTCCAACAAACACCGATTTTCACCCGACTGGACTTTCGCCGCCTTAACTTTCATCCTTGTCCTGCTGCATTTCCCCCTGATGCCAACGGGCACCGTTAAACCATAATGGAAACCGGCCTGGGTATCATGCTGACATTTAAGGACGCCTTTTTTCGTTGGTTTTTGATGCCACAAGTTACTGAGAGCCGGTATTTGGTTTGTTCATTCTGAGCTACTGTCGAACAACATGGCGGACACAGTGGAAGAAGACCCACTCCGTATGTAGATTTAAATGGCATATTCTAAGGTAACGAAAACGAAAAACGATTCTTATTTTCAGGTGATTATTAATGAAAACAAAGTTAGGAATACCATATACCATATCTGCCAATATATCCCACTAAATCCTGCACACTGGACCCAAGTCATCAATATTTATAGACTACAATGACTTATCAGATGTTTCCTTTAACTTCTGTTTTCTTTGAAGGTGTGGGGAATGCTACTGCCTGTGTAATGGGAGATAAAATCTATGTGACTGGAGGTCATTATGGGTACAGAGGAAACTGCACCTATGAAAAAATCCAAGTCTACAGGACAGATGTCAATGAGTGGAGTATCAGCACCATAAGTCCACATCCAGGTGTGAGAAAATGAAGAGGAGATAAGAATAAAAAATATGCTGATTACTGTATTCTGATTTTAAATCCTCTGTTTTCAGAGTACGGGCTGTGTTCAGTGGCTCTCGACAACAAGCTGTATTTGGTTGGAGGACAGACGACAA